AGTTGTTTATATGTTATTATATGGTATGTGGTAGTTTGGGGGAGCTCAATAAGTTTGGTGCTTACAGTTTCAGTTTTGGTTTCAGGTACTTCCGCTAGAAAGGCGAAGAGCTCGGGTTGATGACATCACACACACCACAACTTCAGTTTTATCCTGGGAGTTTTATTCAGATATTTTGATATGATCAATACAGTTTTGTTTTGACACAGTTACTATGACTTTTGAGTTACTTATTCCATGGTTTTTATTATATATGACATTCGATGATTATTTTTAGTAATATTAAAACAAAAAAATTTGGGTTATATTTTGGGTCGTTACAAAGACAGTTATCGGTTGAAAGATACCAAAGGGGTGGATAGAGCCCATGCATGCCTAGCAGTATGTTTATGATATGTTATTATGTGACCTGTATGGTTATAGTATGCCATTATGTGAGCAGTATGTTTATGATATGTTATTATGTGGCAAGTATGGTTATGATATGTCATTATGTGATTCAGTATGTTTATGTTATCTTATCATGGAACCAATATGTTTATGACATGTTATTATGTGGTAGTGGTAAGGGGTGAAACAGTCCCCGGATACCGGTTGAAAGATACCGAAGGGGAGGTTAGCTCCCGGTTACCGGTTGAAAGAAAGCGAAGGGGAGGTTAGTGATGGGTTTTGAGCATTCTAACACTTCCTAAGTGTACATGCAACCCTAATAACCTTGGATCTATGTTTGTCTAATTGTCATGCAAAGTTGAATTCCAAGGTTATATTCCTATCTAGCATACATGGGGAACAATTTTAACATAAAGTATAGATAGAATAACTTACCTTGTTGTTGTTTGTGTTCCTTGAAACCTTGTGAGCCTAGCACCCCAAGTGTGATGCCTCAAATGCTTCACACAACACCAAATGCTCTTGGAAGAACTTATGAGAGAATACTCACTTCTTCAAAATCAGCCAAGCCCTCTTGATTCTTAGTGTAGCCGATTTTGGGTGGAGAATATGTTACTTATATAGTGTTGACACATCTAGGGTTAAACCCTAATGTGTCATGACTCTTCATTTCCATGACCCATGGGTTTGTAACTCCCATGGAGCATCCTATGGGTGGAACCCAACTTGATAATCCATGGAGCCTTTTAGCCCACTATACAAGATATGGATGATTTACATAATCAACCCATATATTTAATTAGTTATCTTTTGATCACTTAATTAATTCTTAATTAATTCTTGATCAAACTAATCAAATAATATTATTAATATATTAGAACTTATAATATATTAATAATCTCCAAGTGTTATTTCTCTCATTTAGTCTATCCAATTGCATGGTGCCATGCAACCCAAATGGACCATGCCGGGTCGGGTCAAGTACATACCAGAAATAGTTATGGACTTAGACACCTTATCCAACAGTTAGTTCCCAGTTACTGGTTGAAAGATACCGAAGGGGAGGTTAGCTTCCAGTTACCGGTTGAAAGATACCGAATGGGAGGTTAGCTCCCGGTTACCGGTTGAAAGATACCGAAGGGGAGGTTAGTTCTCACTTACCGGTTGAAAGATACCAAAAGGGAGGTTAGTTCCCAAGTACCGGTTAAAAGATACCGAATGGGAGTCCAGCTCCCAGTTATACCAGGCGGATACCGGTTGAAAGATACCGAGGGATAGACATTATGTGGTATGATGGGGGAACTCACTAAGCTTCGCGCTTACAGTTTACAGTTTTGGTTTCAGGTACCCATTTTCAAAGGAAAGGAGCCGGCTTGATCGCAGTGCATCACACTATGTTTTCCGCACATGAGATCTTTGAGATTGCACTTTGATATGGTTTTATGATAATATGTTTTAATTATTGACACTTTGGTTTTGACATAAGATATTATTATGAATGTTTTTATACTGATGGTTTTATGTAATAACTTATTTAAAAACGAAAATTTTGACCTCGAAATTTAGGATGTTACACAAACCAACATGTATTCGTGTCATTTTGATTTTTGAGGTTTGATTTTATATGTTAAATGTAGTAAAAGAATTTATTACGATTTTTGAAGGTAAGTTGATTTATCTATTCATTTATTTATTTTTAAATATTTATTTATATTTTAAGTTTTGACATGTCGTAAACATTTTCATTTTGGATTGTTTCCTTTTTTATACATTGAACTAGTGCAGATGGTATTTGCCTTCCGTGCGAATTTATTAATATTATATTTTCAACTAAAACTTTATTTGGCTTGCAAGTTGAAAAAATAATTTTAAGTTAGTTTATTAATAAGTCACCTCAAATAGTTTTGATATCAAATAGTTTATCAAAAAACATATATATGCAGGGACGGTTTTAAGGGGTTCCCGGGTGTGGCACCGGTAACCCCTAACTTTTCTGATCACAGTGTAAAAATTTTCAATTTTTCAATTTTTTTTTAACTATTTTTCATGTATCAGCAACATTTATTCATCCCGATAACACCTACTATGTATTTCTACGTCCGTCTCTGCCTATATGTCGTTTTATATGATGCGATAAGCTACTTTTATGGTTTCATCAAACTACTAAATTGCAATAATAATAATAATAATAATAATAATAATAATAAAACTAGTTTATACGTGCTAAAAAACACTAAATAAACTAATAGAATAATTGGTGTAAAGCTATATAGAGTTTTAGTCCCTATGGTTTTCACTCTCTATAGTTTTCTAACTAGTTAACTTTTTGCATAGTTCGTCGCTATGGTTTCCAAAAGTTGTGTGTGTGCTTTTAAGGCAACCACCGTTAGTAAATGGATGTATAATGATGAAAATTCCATGTTTTTTTTTGTCTCATGTCTTTTTTTTTTTTTTTTTTGCCATATGTTAAACTTGAGGAACTATTTTTGTAAAAACCTTTGTAGAGTATTAAAAAATGCCTTAAAGACATAAAATCCTAAGGCTGCGTTTGGTTCGTAGAATGTTTTTCAAATAAATGGAATTTATCAAAAGAATTGGAATCCAGAGGAATTAGAATCTGAATGTATTAGAAACTTAAATGCGTTTGGTTGACACAGAATGAAATATGTTTTCTGTTTGGTTTGCTAATTTACCAAATGAATTGGAAAATGAATTTTGTAATATGACAAAATACCATTTAGTAATTTTTTGTAACTTAATTATATTTTTTAATGAACATGACGAAGTTTATACAATTACAACATTTTTTTCAACATTTTTTTGTACCTTAATTATCATTTATCTATCTTTGTTTCTAGTTAGATTAAGCCGTATCATTTCCTGCTTATCTTCCAGGAAAGTTTTACACTTCAAATACATAATAGTTGATAATATTATGAAATTGGATCATTAACAAATTTGATTTGTTGCAAGTTTCGTTGGAATTAGTTATTACCGTCTATTAGTATAAAAATGAATTAAATCGTTGTTTTAAAAAAGCAAATTTATCACGTAGAAATCTACACGAAAGTAAAAAAGTTACTATCTGTTAAACTTCATTTTATGCATTTAGTGGTTATTAATTATATCTTTTAGAGCAATTTATGGACTTTTATCTTATAATCTCCAAGAAATTAATCATAAGTGCTAAAAATAATGAGCACAAAAAAGAACATGAAGGCAAATAAAAAACAATACCACAGAGACAAAAGTACAACCAGATGGTATATATATATATATATATATATATATATATATATATATATATATATATATATATATATATATATATATATATATATAAAAGCAGTTATTACACATCCCCAACAACAAATTCAAACCAAAAATTTATACGTATACATGTAAATAGAAATCTTGTTACTTTACCAAAGAAATTAGAGATGAAGTACAATAGCACAAAATGTGAATATATTATGTTATACACACAGAGATGAAAGAACAAGAAAATTGTATAAAATAATAGTAAAACACAATTGATTGCAGGTAATAGAAGGATTCAATGGTTTACTTGTGAACCGAGACGATATAGGAATGACGAACTACAAGAAATACGGTAGCACAACAACAATGAACGATAGATGAAACTGTTTGGAAAATGCCGATTAGAGATATATAAATAGAGAAGATTATGTAATCATAGAAATAAATGAGTTTTTTTTCAGGCATAAATAATAGGACTGTTGGGTAAGAAATTGAATTTTGATTATTGTTGAGCGGCGGAAGAATTACAAATCAAGCAAATAAGGAATTGAATGGTTATTATGGAATTCTAATTCCTTCTATTTAGGTTGCCAAACGCGTTTCCTATAGGAATTTAATTTCTAATTCCTTTTAATTCCTTTGAATGAAACGAAACAAACACGCCCTAAAAACTTCAACCCATCAATATTCAATGAAGCTTTCTAACAACGACACACTTTCCATCTCCTCCTCTCCAACTCCAATTTTGTCTTGTTTTTTTCTCTGTCTCATCCACTTCATTGTCGACATTAATCCCTTCTTCCTGATCATCGTTGGGCCTATTTGGGTAATTGCACTATTACACGGACCATTTCAATAATTTAAGTATTACACCGGGACCATTATTGTGGTTTTTCTTATATAAGGACTATCTCTATAACGTTGCTATTATTACATTGGTACTTTTTGTAATACAATGGGGACCATTTCCGTAATTCAAACAACCCATACATTCCCAATTGACGGTGCTTGTTACAACCCCAACAACCATTAAAGGTGAACCACTTACAATTTGACTTAATGGTACTCTCGACGACCTTTAGTCTTTAACTTATAACTTCAGATTTTACTCGTTAGCTTCTGGAAAAATTTACCACAAAGGTTGAAAGTCAGATGCGAAGACAAAACAGAAGTCAAACATCCAACTCACATTTGTGAACATCATAGAATATCCCTAACTTCTTTTGGAAAACAACGCATGTGAAACGCCAAAACCTTCGTTGAGGACATTTCAAAGACCAGAACCAACAAAACTCAACCCAATCTCCAATTCATCCCAATCCTTTTATATGTATATTTTTATTTTTTATATATTGTCTTATCTCATAAATTAAAAGGGTTCAAGAACAAAATGTTATTTTGACAATTAAACTGTATTTGCTTTTTTTTCCTGAACAATGGTTTTGATTTAATAAAGTCTAAGATTTTTTATGTGATATAAATGATAAATTTAAATATGTCAAACCAAGTCCAACACTTTTACATAACTGACTACGTTGGAAGAAAAAAATGATTAGTTGGGTTGAAAATCTCTAAGTCGTTTAATTAAATTGGTCACCCAAACCCAGCATGAATGCCAACCATACCTTGAATTGAACAGGGAAAAAAATTGCAATTTTTCCCCACCAAAAAAGGTGGGAGAGGGCCAGCTCTAAATCTCTTGTATGTACAAAAGAAATCAATCTCATCCCATCATTGCAAATAATCATTTTTCCTAAAAGAAATAATTGAATAAACATTTCTGTGCTAAACCAACTCGTTAACAGTTTGTTACAAAACCAACTCGTTAACAATCATTTTTCTGTGCAAAGAAAAATTATTTTGTTGAGAAAAGAACAATCGTTTTGTTTCGTATGTTTTGTTGAAGGTGTTGGTTATCCATTTTCATAGAAGTGAGTCATAGGCAATGAATGACTTTGTTGGCAGAAATTAATCAACCCAAACAAAGACCACCACTCACCACTGTATTTTACTTTAATGAACTGGCTGCAAGAGGTTGAAGCTTAGAGTTGAGATTTTGAGCAACAGCATCAATGAACTCCTCAGTGTTCAAGTAGAACTCCCTTGATGCCCTGTAAATAAAAGTCAAATTAGAAAACCATGTTGGTCAACTCATTCAAGTTGATACTTTATAAAGAGTGACTCGATTAGCTTCCATTTACATTCAGCATTTTATCGACATAGCAACTGCACTAATTCTTTTTTTTATCGATTTAGCCACTGAATTATTATTATTATTATTATAGTAGTCATAAAGAAATAATAGTTAGAATGGTTAAATCAATAAAATGAAGAAAAGTATGTTGTGGTTGTCTAGTATGTAAAGCCTAAATAATAAAATATAATCAGATAGTGAAAGTAGCACTCACTTGGGTCCATGGATTAGAATGGCAAGATCCTTTGTCATCTTTCCAGACTCAACAGTCTCAACACACGAGGTCTCTAGCTTTGTAACAAAATCCGCTAATCGTTCGTTTTTATCCAACTTGGCTCTGTTCAAAAGATCAATAATAAACATTCTTTTAGCATTTGAAACAAGTTGTAAAAAAGCTCAATCAAACAAAACAGGATTTAACTAATATGAACATTATTAGACCATCCACAATAGGAAAGTTTTTTTGTGCCACCAACTCAACAATCCAAAAGCCTCAAGATATCTTTCCACTATAGGAAAGCTTTTTCATAACGCTTATTTACAGGTCCTACCAAACTTATAGGGCAAAATGCAAAAAAGTCTATTTGCCAATTTGTGTGGTTTACCAACTCTTTTTCACCCAAGTTTGACTATTTTGCCAAAGTTTTGTTGCTTTAGTGGAATATTTAGTGTCATGTAGAATTTTTCACTAAACCCAACTATTAGTATATAGCTATATATAACTTTCTTATTATAGACAAGAAAATTTTAAATTTGTAATATGTAATATAATTGTAAATGTTGCCAAATTTCTGACTTTTTCTTATTTAGATTTTTATGAAGTTAATTAAAAATATCTTTTGACAAGGTTATTTGAGCAAGAGGCTCCAGAATAAGCTCCAATTGTGGATGATGATGATCTTAAGTAACATAAAGTTGAGAATTGAGAAAAAAATATATATTATATTAGAAAGGTAAAGAGACCGATGTTGAAGTCCTCTTGTCCATGCAAAAATTGAGGCAATACTGTTTGTGCTGGTTTCATTTCCCTTTTGGTGTTGCCTAAAATGACGTGTTACTGTCCCATGGGCTGCCTCAGCTTCTAGTGTTTTACCATCTGATGATAGCTGCAAAAAGTGCAAACCAAATATATTTTTTGTTCAGTTTCGGATTTTTTTATTTGATTTTTGGTTTTTTCAAATTCAAACCAAATTCCTTGGTTCAGTTACGGTTTTAGTTAAAAACCAAACCCTTCTTCTCAAATCTCAAGCAACCATAAAGTCATGTAAATTTCTACTAACCAAAACTGATGTCATGAGGCCCAGAGAACCAAATCCTGCACAACAAAAAATATTCTTTGGTGGGTTGTTTTGTTTAATAATCCAATTCCAATTGATCTTTTAATAAATATAATTTCTTTACAAAGATTTTATTAATCGTATAACTAAACCATCACCTTGAGCTAGTAAATCACTTTGGACATCTCCATCATAGTTCTTGCATGCCCAAACATACCCACCATCACTTTTTAGGGCATAAGCCACCATGTCATCAATCAATCGATGTTCATACCTTATTTAAGCAAACATATCACCAATTAATATTCAAATATATCAACCATTCAACAGAAGTATAAGGACTACAAACCCATAAAAGGGAATTACCATATTGAATGTTCTTCAAATTTCTCCTTCCAACTCTTCTCATATACCTCTTGAAAGATATCCTTAAACCTGACATGTCAACACATAGTATAACATAACGCCACAAATATTGTAGATAATATCAAAGCAAATTGTATATAAAAAAGGAAGACATTGTCACCTCCCGTCATATTTCTTCAAAATAGTATTTTTGGTGCTCAGATATAAAGGCCATCTCTTTGAGAGTGCCATTGACATTGATGATTCAGCAAACGAACGGATAGACTACCAAAAAAACATAAAAATTCTCATGGTAAGATTTCAAATTTTTAATCATCTTATGATATAAAATGTGATAGTTAGCAAAAGTAAAAAAACCAAACCTCATCAACATTATACATTGCAAGTGCAATGCCAGGACCTTTAAAGTCAAAAACATCAAGCTCCATGGGAGTTTCACCATTCTCTGGGACTAAACACATCACACAACAAACATTTTATAAAAATCTATCTTACTTTTTCAGGTATAAATTATAATAAAATCAATTTTTAGCATACCAAAAACCATCTTGAGTTTTCCTGGCCCTTTAATGACTGCATCTGTAGCGCGATACTGGTCGCCAAATGCATGCCTACCAATACAAATCGGTTTCGTCCACCCTGGAAAATAATATATAAAAAAAAAAATTAAAAAGGTTCTACAGGTCATCCATGGTTACCAAATACATGTAGTGCGTAGGTGTCAGACACTACTTACCTGGGACAATTCTAGGAACATTCTTGCACATAATAGGCTCTCGAAAAACCGTCCCTGAATCCAAAGAATTCTAACAAGTTAAAACAGTTGACTAATATAATCTGTGTATTGAGAGTACTAAGACATAATGCCAATACAAACCATCTAAAATATTCCTGATTGTGCCATTGGGACTCCTCCACATGGACTTCAATCCAAATTCCTTGACTCTTGTCTCATCTACAACATTAGGAACATAACATATAATCTGAGATTTTAGCAAATTTGGATTTTTGACATGTTACAAGTGGGTTTATAGAATGACTAACCAGGTGTGATTGTAGCACATTTTACAGCAACATTATACCTGTAAAACATGAAAACTTTGGTTATAATTTCAAATAAAGTAAAGAAATATGTATGTATGTAACACCAATTCTAGACTTGAAATGCAGTTCTCTAATCCTTCTCTTAATTTCATCCGCTAAACACTAGTTTCATTCATATTACTCAACCACATTGCTATCTAGCAGGAATCATCTCTAGAATCAGCAGTTTCTCTTAAAACAGATACTATGTGGTATGATCTACATACAAAAGTCTATAAAGGCTACATATGACTGATGCAGGGAGAGCTCAATACGGAATCCACTAGTAGGCTGTGAATTAAGTAAGACCTTGAATAGAGTTGCAAGTTTTTTATCAGCCTTTAAAGCAATCATTGAGGGTATAGGAAAAAAAAAAGGCGATCATCACTTACTTCAGAGCGGCATGGGCGCTTTCTACAGTAACTTCATCATCTGTAGCATCACGATTCAATATTCCCAAATCAAAATACTTAATATCCAAATCTATGTACGGAAAAATGAGCTGAAATGGAAAAGAACAACAACAATAAGCAACGGAGATACAGTGAACTTAATTAGGTCAACTGTATACAGCGAAAAACAATTACGAAATCAAAATCTTCGAACCTTGTCTTTAATCATCTGCCATATGATCCTCGTCATTTCGTCACCTAGAAAAAAGGAACAAATTAGACACCTGTGAGAGAGTAAGTATTAACAACAATGAAAACGTATTGTCTATGATAGCTACCGTCCATCTCAACAATGGGATTGAGAACGGGGATTTTATCCATAGCGGTGGTAGAAGACGAAGCGAAACAACGAAGTGAAATTTTGGATAAGCGACTGCAAAGAGAAAGGCGGTTGCAGGATTTTACACTACCGAAGTAATTGAAATTCGATGATATTGGTAATCTAGGGTTTCTGAGTAATACAGAAGATGAAGATGAAGAAGAAGACAACATGGCGGCGGCGGTAGTGGACATGGTGGGCAGGCGGTGTTTTAGATGAAGCATCGCGGTTGCGAGCACCCTGTTTTGATAGCGTGATAGTGTCAGGAAGGCTTGGTTACGCGTTAAGAACCGGGTTTAATATCTAAACATGAGCTTTATTACCCGGAAACGGAGTAATCTGATCTTGTAACGAGTTTCTTAATAAAAATAACAAACTTAAATTTGTTTTTGTAAAGATCATTTTCTTCGGAATATATCATTCTGGAATGGTATTCATTCCAAAACTTTGATCCAAAACAAGATTATCTATACATTTCGGAATACCCATATCCGAAATAAGAATCTATGTATTATCATCATGTTAGTACTTTGAAGTGATATGTTAGTGATTTGTTATCATCAATGTTATTTAAGTGTAATAGGATTACTTTATAGCGAAAATTTTTTATTTGGGTTATATTGTTATATTAAAAATGCATCAGAAAATCCAAATTTTGAATATTTAACCCGGTTTTGACTTTGCATTAATCCTTATACCAAACTCAGATTTATAACAGTTTTGACTGTTGAGGAAAACTGTTATATGACAGTTTTCAGACAAGGAATGTATATAACCAATTTTTAGTCAGTTTTCTGGTACTCACGAAAATTACACCATCTCATTCTCTTTGATTTTATCTGAGTGTTATCCAATTGAGGATTTGGGAGTACCACCCAAATACTTGGATTTGAAAGTGATTATCACGATTCTCAAATTCCCAAGTGTCACTAAACCATATTTCTAACATGACAATCCAAAGTGACGGACAAACGTTCCGGACAGTTATTCCAGATTATAAAACATTAATTTTTATCCCTTATATATATATATATATATATATATATATATATATATATATATATATATATATTACCGCATGTAGTTAGATGTTTACTTGTGATCATCTGTAATTATCTCATATGACTCCTTCAATATGAGTTTCCAAGAGAGTGAGCACGAAGAAAGTTTTACCAATCTGCATGTTTATCTACACAACCTTAGGCGGACCAACCATCATAGTTACACGAACATCAAAACTAATGTGATAGATCGTTTCCAAGTTTGTTTTGTGACTATTAAATGTGTGGTAAGAATGTGTTTCATATTTCTATTATGTTCTTTAAAATTGATAACGTTTGTATACCTAAAGCATCTTGGTTTGTTTTTCCAAAAAAATACAACTACATGCATTTATAGGTTGCATGTTGTCTGTCATCTTTATAGGTAGTGTGTGTTTAAGAGTGGACTACTTAAACACAATGTTTGTAGCAGTTGCTATGGACTGGACCAACCAGACCCTACCTGTAGCATTTGGTATGGGTGTGGCAAATAATGTTGACTCTTGTACATGGTTCATGATGAGGTTGAAGGAAACTCCTGGAGAGGGTAGGGAAGTATCAGCCATAACCAATATTGATGATGTCATTAGTTCTTACGTAGGTGAGGTATACTCTAATTCTTATAATGGGTATACTTGTAAAAGTGTGTTATTGTATATTCACACAAGAGTTGGTGGAAACAAAACATTAGACATTTGTTCTGGATGACATCCAACTCATATACTGTGAGGGTGTTTGGGATATCTTTTTGCCTTCAAAAGTCCTTTTTGCAAAAAGACTTTTTACAAAAGATGTTTTTAATAATATGTTTGGATTAGCTTTTGAGTAATTTAAGTGTCAAGGGGTTGAAAAGTTACAAAAAGACACGGATACCTGACTTTTCAGAATGCTTCTTTTCCTTATTTCTCAAAAGTTGGTTGTAAAAAGATCTTTTCCCATTACCAAACATCTTTTACTTCATTTTTAACTTTTTGGAAAAGATAGGGGCCAAAAGTTGGTTAAAAAGATAAAACAAACACCCTCTATGTTTGATTTTGAACAATATTTTCGTCAGCTAACCCATGATGCATGTGAGATGCTTGCCAACATTGGTCATGCGAAATAGACAAGAGCCTATTTCCCTAACATCTGTTGGAATTTACTCAACATTGATAGTCTACAATTTTTACTGGTGTTATCAGTTAATCAACGCAATGTACCAATAATACCGCTTACCGAGGTAATTCATGACTACACTCAACAGAATTTTGATAAACGCGGTTTAATGGGAGGTAATACCGTAAAATATTAAATTACCTTTTACTTGTACAATAACCTTAATTGATAATATTTACTTTTCAAGGAGGTTGACTAATGTACCCACCCCGTATGCAAAAATGGTGTTTCATAGTATCGATGCAAAAGTTTGTTCGGTGGCAAGCAACAAAGATCCCGCCCGAGATTTCTCTTTCGTTCCCATCCGACATTTTTCAAGTTTTTGATTTTAAAACAACTTGTATTGTAGATCTAAACTGCCATACATGTTAATGTGGGAAGTGTTGCAATATAGTTATAGCGTGCGATCATGTTATTGCGACATCATGTTATTCAAACATCGTTAAATTAGCAAATATGGTTCAGATATATTATCGGACTGATTAGTGTCAACGTCTAGATAGTAATCAAATGAAATCTTTGTATACTAGGTAATTATACGGTTATGTATATAATAGATAGCAGATCCGATATCTTAGTGATAATGATCACTTCTTAGTATAAATTAGATATAATCCCTTGATTGAAAAGGGATATACTAGTATAGCTTAGCATATATTCAACATTAGGATGAAACCCTAATGTTAACATCTTGGTGGCCGTCTTTGTGACAACCCGTTTTCTTGGTGAAAACAACCCATTTCTTGGTGAAAGACATATTTGTGATTATTTCGTGTTCTTTAAGTTTTTCTATTTTTTATTTTGGTTTAGATAATTTGTTCTTTTTTTATTTTACTTGAAGTGAATCCGGTCGTTACAAACCTTCAATTGGTATCAGAGCGGGTTTTTGATACACTCAAGTAATCATGTCGACTTCCTATAATCTCAAATCTTTTGGTCTCAACAAGATTCCTCCTTTCGATGAGCAAAACTTTGCCATATGGAAAACTAAGGTCATGGTTGTTTAGAAACCTTGGATTATGAGATGCTTAAAATTTTTGAAAAAAGTTCCTCACGCTCATATGTATCAACATATGGTCAACAATGCTCAAGTTGGTCATTTGAAGCAAAAATCAGAGACTAGTTATGACGACGATGATAAGAAACTGATTAGTCATGATGTGAAAGCTAGAAAAGTGATAAGAAACTATCTTCTCTATCACGTGTATCATCTTATATAGAATTATAAGTCAGCTCAAGAGATGATGGATACGCTGCCAATGGCTTATGAAGGCACTATGGAAGTTCAGGACACTACCATTAACAACCTTACTTGAAGATATGAGCATTTCTTCACTCAACAAGGTAAGTCACTAACCCAAACTTTTTACAGGTTGAACTGTGTGGTAAATGATATGCACAGGTTGGGAATTGTCAAACACTTTTCTCAGTTGGTTTTAAAGTTTCTTGACTCTCTTAGGAAAAGCTGGGAACATCACGATGATGTCCTTAAGAATTGTGAGAAAGATCAATGTCATGGATCTGAACTCCATTGGAGACCTTGGAGTTGTGTCAGCCATACAGGAGCTCATGGAAATTTTATGTGCTAACGAAGGAACGATTTCCTTGACTAAGGAATCGAGGGATCATGGTAGATCTCGACATATCGACATAAAATATCACTTTATTCGACATTGAGTAGAAGAAGGACTCCTCGTAGTAAAGAGGGTATCGTCAGAGGATAACCCAACAGATCCACTTACGAATGGACGGAGTAGGGTTAAGCACTTGCAGCACGCTAGGAGCATTGGGTTGAAGGGCGATATTAGTTTAGATTAGATAGTTTGGAAACGTGTAATAGATAAATGTAATTGACATTCGATGATTAAATAAATGAGTATTATTTATTAGTAAAGTTACTATCTTATGTTAATTATTTACCTATTGTTTCATTTTGCATGTAATGACTTCCATAATAATAGATTATTCGAACGATCCACAGTCGTTTATATGTTGGAAGTAGGTATGAATGAAGACTATCATGAATTGGTGTGTAGATTGTCTAAAAGGTATTAGACATAGCAAAGGTTTGCTACAACGTTCATGAGTGTTTATGAACAAGTTTTGAGCATTGGAATAAACCCACGCTTGCTGGAATCACTTCATGGAATTTATCACGAGTGATCACAAGACGATGATATCATATGGTCTTAAAACCTAGATATATGGTTTATTGTTTGCTGATTGGCTGTGTATTGATAATGCGAAAATGCATCAGTAACTTGATGTTATAAAACACATTGGTGTGTATGATTTAATTAGTGAATATTAAATGCATATAAGTCAAATTTTATCTGTTCCTTTTATTCTTAGAGGATAAAAGCGATATCAGGGCCCCTCGATGATTTGGTTTGACTTATGTGTAGGGCCCGGTCAGGACTGAATTGATGTGTTCAATTAAGTTATGTGTCAAACAAAACTGAGATCAAGAAACAAACTGTTGGACAATAAGTATGACTATGTTCCATGTGATTGTCCGCACGATATCTAGAACCGAGGATCATATGATCCATTATCTAAAGGACAGGTTACTGATAAGCTCAATTGGATTGTAATTGCATTTATAGTTACTAGACTTATCCAAGTGGGACACTGTTGGATTAGTGTCTAAGCCCGTAACCATATTTGGTAAGTACTTGACCCAGTTGTGCATGGTCCTTTTGGGTTGCCTTCACCAAAACAACTTGACTAGAGAAATGATGGAGAAAGAGGTTATTATGGTTTATTAATATATTATAAGAATAATATATTAAAAGAGAAATCATATTTATTTAGTTCCATTGGTCAATAATTAATTAAAAATTAATTTTGTGATTAAAAGAAGTTAACTAAACTAGGGGTTGAACTGCAATTATGTGATAGTTGCAAAGTAGGGCAAAGGATGCCCTATGGGATAGGGTGGATGAATTCAAGGGAATAAGGCCTTAGAATTCATCCACGATAAGGCTTCTGGACTTATCTTATGGGCTGCTTGGTGGGCAAGTGACCAGATAAGGACAAGGACTGAAACTCTAATCCCTACACCTATATAAGGACCCATTGGCTTAGGAAAATCGGCCACTTGATCCTAGAAGTTCCTAGAGCCTCCCCTCTCTCTCTCTATCTCTTTCCTCTCCATTTGTTCTTGGTGTTTGTAAGCCATTGGAGGTACTACACTTGTAGTACTTGCTTTAAAAGACAAGAAGATTCAAGATTTAAGTTGTTATTACAAC